AATTACAAATTATACAAAACTAATTTCTCACTACAACATATAAAGTTCCACACACAACGGGTTCAGTTTTCGTACACAATTATGCGAACATACAGTTACTTCCTTCCAGGATAACGTAAATAAAAACGAACTAGTATGTTCACTAAATAACAATATTACATGATAGAAAGATCACCGTCTGGTGGGAGCTGCGATGAACCTATCCCTACCACAGAGAAACAGAAAATTCTCGAAACTTGCCGGGAAAACATTCAACGTCGCCGCCCTAAAGGACCATACCAAGAAACAGCAGTTTGAAGAGTCGCTCAACACTTTACCCTCGAAATCCTCGAAACATGCCAGGAAAACATTCAACGTCGCCGCCCTAAAGAACCATACCAAGAAACAGCAGTTTGAAGAGTCGCTCAACACTTTACCCTGGAAATCCTCGAAACATGCCAGAAAAACATTCAACGTCGCCGCCCTAAAGGACCATACCAAGAAACAGCAGTTTGAAGAGTCGCTCAACACTTTACCATGGAAATCTTTCGAAAGTTACTCCGTCGATGGCATCTGGGAAAACATCAAAAAATGAGTTCATAACACCGTAACCGCGACGATTCGCTTCTCTAAACGACAATAACAAGATTGGTTCGACGAAAACAACACCGAAATTGCCAGGAGACATAAACTCTTTGTTTCAGATCGAGTATATCGAGGCTGTCGTCCAAACTAAAATCCGAAACGTCAGTAACTAATGGTGGGGAGACAAATCCAGGGAACCCCAGACATTTGCCGACCAACACGACATGTGCAGCTTTCTTCAAGATGCGAAGACAACTTACGGTCCTCAACCCCATGGCTCAGTTCCGATTCATAGCGATAGGCTCCTCAGGGACGCTGTTTCCATCAAAAGACGCTGGAAGGACCACTTCGAGCAACTCCTGAACAGGGACAGCACAACTGAAGAGCATATCTATGATGACATTCACCAGCAAGCAGCAGAGAAACACCAGAACAAATCACCATCCCAAATTGAAGTAGAATTCGCCGTGAAAAAGATAAAGTCCAACAAGGCCTGCAGACCAGATGGAATCCCTGCCGAGATCTTTCAACATGGCGGAACACTCCTGATTCGGAGACTCCATCAACTCATCCTTTAATTTTGACCTGCGCGATGCATATGTCGTGGCTATCTTCAAAAGAGGCGACAAATCCCTGTGTGGAAATTATCGAGCCATTTTCCTTTCATCAATTGCAGGAACGATCTTGACCCGCATCCTGGTGGACAGAATATCTCCGATAGCTGAGGGAACCATCCTGAATCACAGTGTGGTTTCAGACCTCGTGGAACTATCTACTTGATTATATTGACACGTCAAGTGTAAGAAAAGGGTAGAGAGTAAGACCAGGATTTGTTAGATCTGACCAAAGCATTTGATTCCCTCAACCGTAAACTATTATAGAAAATTCTTGACAAACTTGGCTGCCTTGGAAGGTTCATCCGAATTTTGAGACTCCTTCGTGATGACATGACTGCTTCTATACTCTGTCAAAACTCTCAAACTGACGCCTTTAAAATATGTACGGCCGTGAAGCAAGGATGTGTGATTTCTCGGACTCTCTACAACCTTTGCTTGTCATCAATTTTCTTTCTTATACAAAATGACCTTCCTGTTGGCGTACAACTTCATTATCGTTATAAGGGCAGGCTTTTCAACCTGCAACTGCTGAAGGACATAACCAAAGTTACCCCTATCGTCCTCAATGATCTTCAATACACCGATGACTGTGTGATAATCGCCCATAATCCTATTGACATGCTTAAAAACATTTGGACTCGCCATGAATAAGAAAAAACAAAATTATCTTTCAATCGAACCTTCGAGACCAAACTGCAAACCTCCTGATATTTTTGTCAATGGAGAACCATTGGAATGCGTGGATAACTTCCCTTATCTTGGCAGTCATCTATCTTCGAACACCACCATTGATAAGGAAGTTGAAAGTAGAATAAGCTGTGCTGGAAATGCTTTTTTACAGACTAAAACAACGCGTATTCGACAACAAAGATTTGAGAAAGAAAATCAAGTTGATAGTTTACAATGCGGTGGTCATCATTGTTTTCCTATATGACAGCGAAACATGAACAGTGTACAGAAGACACATCAAATACACAGCCCTCATTTATATGGCGTTTAGCATTTAACAGTGTTCTTAGCATACCTGTGTTGATCACAACAAGGTCAGTACCCGAGGGAGGAAAAGATCTACATAGCGCCCGACCCTTCCAGCTCTCGAATCGTCAAGCAATAAACATGTCACAATAACCATTAACTTCGGTTAATGTACCTTCATGATATAACACGCTGAGGAAAAACTTATTATAAACATAGAATATTAAATCTAAAAATAAACAGCAATAGAAAACTTGCATTAAGTTGGAAATAAATCAAAATGGTAGTAGAATTTTATTGCATTAATATGAAAAAAAAAATTAGTAAAGTTATTTGAAGAAGTTATTGTTATGATATTTTGAATGTTCGCTCAAATCTACACAAGGGCTATCTACAAATAGCCGTTCCGAATTTTGAACAAATAGACCAAAGAGAAAATCACTCAGCAGCACCAAACGCCAACTCTTGGGTTATTTGTGTCTGCCCAAATAGCTGGATTGGCAGTAATTCTTATTGGGCACCCACAGCCCCAAAGTCTAGACTGCGATTTTGCGTACCATGAACTCTCGGATTTGAAATCTGAGCAGACTAACTCCTAGGTCCCGAGCAGATTAGTGTAGTATCCTTTAAGAATCAAGTTATTGTTTTAATGGAACGCTCCTGAAGCAGCTGTAATTTAATAAAAAAACAATAACTAATTTTGTTATCATAAGGTCGTTTATTGCTAGAAGTAAGACGTCTTTTATACTCCAGTATGTATTATTGAAATTATACATGAATGATGCTTGCAAACTAATTTATTTTCTGAGCATGAACACCTTATCATTTGAAAATTAAAAAAATTTCTCCATCCTCCGGCTCATCTGTAACCCCAAAGTTTACAACGGTAGAATTTATAGTTCGATCCCTGTAATGGATAGATCACCGATTGCTCATTATTACCCTTGCACTAAAACAAAAAGACAGAACAGATATATATGTTTAAAAGTGAAATCTGAGGGTTGCGGGTTCGAATCCCCGTCACACCAAACATGCTAGCCCTTTCAGCCGTAGGGGCGTTATAATGTGACGGTCAATACCACTATTCGTTGGTAAAAGGGTAGCCCAAGAGTTGGCGGTGGATGGTGATGACTAGCTGCCTTCCCTCTAGTCTTACACTGTTAAATTAGGGTCGGCTTGCACAGATAGCCCTCGTGTAGCTTTACGCGAAATTCAAACAAACAAACAAAAGTGAAATCACATAACCACTGTGGCACGAGTAATCTAAACCAGTTTTAAAAGCTTAAGCCTTGTGTCTTTCAACTTTTGGGGCAAAAGAAGATTGTCAAGACAATCTCCAAACACGTGCATTAATGTTAGAGATTCGCTCCATAGTTAGCATCAACAAGCCCTTCGGAGTTCTTGCTCCTACAACAATATTCTTGACAACGGGGTTTCCCGAAAGATGAAACTAATTTAAAATTTTCTTAAATAGTTATTTGTATTTTATCGATTGAACTTTTAATTTTAACAATCGTGCTACTTGATCTGTAAAGAGCAGAATTAGATGAAACAGTAACATTTTCAACACAACTACCCAATTCGTCATCTCTTTTTCTTAATTCAACAGTCTAGATCAATACAATAAGATAATCTTATGAGATTGAAAGATGGCGTTTTCACCAGTATTTCTTATCTCACATGTTTTAAGTTATTTCCAAAGAAAATTCCTGTGTTGCATGAACAATTGGATGTTGATGTTTCTTACACGAAGTGTTTGCGAAAAACAAGCAAATTAAAGGCTTCCTCTTTAGTTTCGTTCACTTCTCTGAGTTAGATCGTTTCGTGATCAAATAGTTCAAAAAACATCGATCAAGTCCATTTTTTTTAGAAGTAGATAGATTTAGAGATATTTGTGTAAAGGTTTCTAAACTTTATATTTCACAATCATTCCGCTCTAGATTACGTTGTATTAATGTGAATATGTTCATGAAATGAGTAGTCAAGCGATTAGCGAGTAGCTATTAAATCAAGGAATTAATAGACCCATTGCCAATGGTTTGGAATCTCATATAAGAGCCCCCCAGTGGCACAGCGGTATGTCTGCGGACTTACAACGTTAGAATCCGGATTTCGATACCCGTGGTGGGCAGAGCACAGATAGCCCATTGTGTAGCTTTGTGCTTAATTATAAACAAACAAACTCTTATAAGAAGCAAATATAATATACCCTTTTAACAACTGTAAGTGTAGTGGTTTTTCACGAATTTCATTATGTGTTAAATCCATATAAACACTTGAGTCGAAAATACCGCGAAGTCTAATTACTGATAACGTTAGATTAGTTAGAATTAGTAATTAAAGTTAAGTATTCTAAAATCCAATGTTTAATCTGAGAGGCTTTTCAAACTATGTCACGTTCACTGGCAAATTATTTATATTCTAAAGATTAACTTCAGAATAATAATATTATATTTTATCTTGAAAGAGTTTCGAAACTTTCAACCAGAAGGCTCTGTTGCAAGTACACCATTTGTATTCCCCTTGTGAATGTTTAAGGTAGTGTTTCCCATATTCCTTCCCACTCTTCTTTTTTCACGTTGTATTGCCTTTTTTTCCCCACTGATGTCTTCTGGATTGGGATAAGGGTACATCTTACAAGACAATGCTAGAAACTAAGCCAAGTAAAGGTTTTTAGTTCATTAATTTAAAAACAATGCTGCGATGTTACTAAAATAAGAGCTTCGGGAATTTTACGGTTACATTTATTCCGAGAGTTTTCTTTTTTTCGTATAGAAAATAAGATTTCTATATATATATATATTTCTTTTAAATCCTTTATTTAAAACATAAAGAATTCGCCTTTCAACTACACCGAGAATATTGCAATTAGCCAACAGCGATAATTTAAACAGACACAACTGCTCCGCCGATGGCTTCGTTTAAAAATTGCAAACAACCTTCAAAGTTTGTTCCCTCAAGAAAGTTAGTAGTTGACTTGTGTGTTTAACTTAACACAGATAAACTGACCCGCGTTACTTCTGTTGAGAGAAAAACAGATTCTTCAGCCCTAGGCGTATTTTTCTTGGGGAAGTGGATGATAAACCCATCCCGCACTTTTCAAGAATAGAATACCTTTTTTCTTTTAAATACTTTCTTGCATACCCCCCAAATAAAGAAAACGCCTCCCCCCATCCATTCACTTTTGAAAACAAAGCCTTCAGCTAGTTCGTGAGTTGCTTTCTTCCATCTCGACGTGTATGCACACAAATATCTTCAGCCCACAGGCTAGGTGGAATACAACAACGCATAGTGGTATCGTTAAAAACTGCTATGTAAAGCCAACCTGTCAGGCTAAGCAGTACATGGCCGCCACAAGGTCGCGTGCCTTTACCTGGTACACTGATCACTGTTGGCTGACGTAAGTGCTAATTTCTTTGTCAATAGCATGTTCAGTTGAAATGCATACGTCACGTCATGATCTCTTCTAGGAAAAACTTGAGGCCGAAACGAAACAGAAGTTGCATTTCATGGAATAAATGTGTTGGAAAGAAAACGTTGACACTCGGCACCTTCAACAAATCAGACATCCGGGCTCAGGGAGTCCAGAGCGCATGCACCTGAATTCTTGGGTAACTATATGCAGCCTAGTAACGACTAGGCCAATGTGCACGTGCTCTTCTTAGCTCAAAGTGCTCTGGGTGCCAGTGTACGACAAGTTGTGGGGTTGGAACTCCTTATGTACTGTACAGGAGAACACGCGTTTGAAGAGTATAAAGGCCATTTCCGTTGAAGCAAGAGTAAACCGTATAGTTGTATCCGGTTTATCATTATCCAAAACCGGATGAAGACTCTATTAGGCAGTTATAGACGTGATTTAGCATACATCTATCCTTGAGTTATACACCAGTGTTTTTACATCTTGCGGTTTCCACATTAGGAATGATGACGTAAGGGAGAGAAGTCATGGTGTTAACCTGAAAAACAACAGAATCGTGGGTTCAAATCCTGTTGGAGCTTATTTTTAATTTTCATTTTTTAAAATGAAGTTTAATGATATTTTTATCAAGTGTTTGAAGTATAGACGGATTTTATATATACGTTAACAAGATGCTTTGAACGCATTTTTTTCAGTTTATCTAAAATCAGGGTTACGTTGCATTTAATATTGTGTTAGTATTATACTGAGCTGTGCAATGTTGCAGCCAAGAATTTGTTAGTGTTACACTAAACTGTGTTATAAGTTGTTAAAAGCTTGTTAGTGTTACACTGAGCTGTGTTATATTGTAGTTAATAATTTGTTAGCGTTACACTGAGCTATGTTATGATGTCGTTAAGAATGTTTAGTGTTTTTACACTGTACTATGTTATGATGTCGTTAAGTATGTTTAGTGTTTAACGCTGTACTGCATTATGATGTAGTTAAATATGTTTAGTGTTTTACACTGAACTGCATTATGATGTCGCTAAGAATGTTTAGTGTTTTACACTGAACTGTGTTATGATGTCGTTAAGTATGTTTAGTGTTTAACGCTGTACTGCATTATGATGTAGTTAAGAATGTTTAGTTGTTTTACACTGTACTGTGTTATGATGTCGTTAAGTATGTTTAGTGTTTTACACTGAACTGTGTTATGATGTAGTTAAGAATGTTTAGTGTTTTACACTGAACTGACAGTCTTTATGCATTTTGGCTTCTGACGTAAAAACTTTTTACATGTTTTGTTAGTGTTTTTCTTTTGAAATCCTAAGTATGTTTATGAAAAGATTATGTGTATGTTAATATTCTTAAAAGTGACAACAGTAATAAAACTTCAGTCCATGTAAAGTTTAGAGCTAATAATATAATTCGCAACTTAATAATCTGCTAAAGTAGGTCTAAATTTAAAACACAAATATGAGAAAGAGGGATATGTACATGACATGTTAAAAAAAAGCGAGGAATACCATATCATGCTAAACGAATCTAGTTTCAATACAGCTCATTTTTCAGGATTACAACAGAGAAAATCAAGCCTAAAAGTGACACTTCTCCAACTTAATCTAGTTCACACCATAGTAGTTGTTGTTCATGAAATAATTACACTTCTCCAACTTAATCTAGTTCACACCATAGTAGTTGTTGTTCGTGCCATTTGGTAATATAAACAACGTTTCAACAACTACTGTGCCTTTTGTATTCCAGTCGGTAAAAGAGATCTGGCATGGTAGGCGGAAGGCCTCGACGACAATATATATATATAACTAGATATGTCGACATATTGTTATAGGCCTGGCATGTTAGGCGGAAGGCCTCGACGACAATAGATATATAACTAGATATGTCGACATATTGTTATAAGCCTGGGATGGTAGACAAAAGGCCTCGATGACAATAGAAATAGCTAGATATGTCGACATATTGTTATACATTCTTCTTTACTTTGACTTTTAAACTATTATAATTATTGATTAAATTATTTAAGCTAAACAATTCACGTACTGTAATATCAATGAAAAAAATATTTGAAAACTATTCTGTATGTTTAATAGTTATCTTACTGGTCTGCTCTTTTCCAAAACCTTGTAACATTCACCCACTATCTGTGCATTCGTCAAGTTTTCCTTTTTTTATGTATTTTGTCAAATGCTTTCAAAATGTTATTATTCCATATATATATATATATATATGAACAATTTTGTCTTAGGTTGAGTCTTTTTTTTTTTTACACTTCTACAGATTCAAGTGACGAGAGTGATTTAGCAGCCGTCCCCCCAGATCTGATTCAACAACAACCTAAAATTTTTCATTGCAATTCTACTCACAGTAAGTCGCTTGTAAATACGATTTACGTTTACGAGCATGTTATTCACGTGTTTTGTACATTTTAAGCTTTTGTTTCATCTTTTATGGGGTTTTAAATACGATAGTAAAGGTAATACTACTATTAAAACTTCATGTGCATTTTAATCTTTGCTTTCCGTACACTTAAAAGAAAGAGTTTGCTTTGAAAAATAGCAATTATATATTGTACAGAGGTGAAGTACGTTACATTAAAACGAATCTGGAGCCTCTCAACGTCGTTACAGTACAAGTCGTCACGTCCAATTGTTCTCTATCTGACGATTATACTCCGTCGTTTACTGTCACATTCAAAGTACACCATTCCTTCTTGCAAGTTTCCACCCGCCATATATTGTACGACAGCGACACGTTCCAAGCTTTCGTTTTAACAGTCCGATAGCACAGAAATCTAATTGCTTGAGGTATGCGACTGTCAGCATATTATGTACTCGCGACTTGTGTCGCTTTTCCAGAGGACGATCCTTCTTGGTTATATCGCGTAATCTTTCTTGAACTCGTGACGACTTTTGCCACTGATCTTTATAGTCGTGAATTTTCATTTGTCACAAGACGACACACTTTGTTCACCATGGCTTGGACACAACCTATTGCAGGTCTCTTTTGGAATACTCTTTGTGTCCTAAGGTTATTTATATTCCTTTTGTTTTTCCAAATGCTATTAAGTACAATGATTATTCCCATCTCGTAAATTCTAAATCCCCGATCTGAACACATGTTTATATTCTAAGTGTATAAATATTTTGCATCAGGGCTGTTACCTAACCTTCCCAAAAGCGCAACACCACAATATGTAGTTGTGATACATTCTGTTCCACTGCGACTTTATATCGGTTGGGGTTGTAACGTAACTTGCATATTCAAAATCGTTTTAGTATAACATACTTAACCATTAAACATGATTAAGTTTAATATTTCATGATGGACGACTTTCTGTATACATTATTTGTTTACCTAATCACCTATTTGCCGATATTCGCCCAAATCCCTTGCAATGATCAGCTGAGCACTGGTGTTTCAAGCTACAACAGCGTATTTCAATACATACAAGTACAAAGAGAGAGAGAGAGAAAAAAAAAAGAGTTATAGATTTAGCTTTTCTTTTGCAATGAAAAGATAAAAGAGTTTTAATACACCCACGGCGCCGAAGTGCAGAGCACGATTTTTTCTTTTGGCGGTAACGGGACGCGAACCACGGAACTTTAGATTCACAGTCAGATCAAGTTAAAACAATTTCTACTCAAAGAAAAATGTTGCTTCAAACTTTTGCTCCAAAACCTTATAATAACTGGATAAAGATTTATTATCTATATAGTACGATGGTATTTTAACATTTCCATAATGTTCTATAATGAGTCGTGTATGTATATATTTATTATTGTGCCTTATCTGCACAGATAGGCAATAGAATAAAAACGTGGGGAGCATATATTCTCAGTGCCCATCCCCCTCCTTCCCCGGTTTCGCCGCCTATAGCTAGAATTATGTGATAGTAGGTGCTTTTATCATAGAATTAATTAAACAATGAAACTTATGGATGGACACATTTAGGAAAAAACAAGCAAACTTGGAAACAAACGTGGGGAGCATATGTTCTCAGTGCCCATCCCCCTCCTTCCCCGGTTTCGCCGCCTATAGCTAGAATTATGTGATAGTAGGTGCTTTTATCATAGAATTG